ATTAAGTTCTCAGTATCTTAGAAGTAAGGATATGATAAGTGATGCTCTTTAACAATATGGTTGGTGCCATTTCTCTTTGAAAAAATATAATACACTGCATAGAAATAACAATTTCCACTATTTAATGACCCCTCTCTCAGTCACTTATAGCAGAAAAACAGATATGGATTTCAGGGCAGTTATTCTTTATTATAGGTAAGTATTTTGCAAGCTTATGTTACTTACATTTTTGTTTTAAACATCTGATGGCAAGTCTAGGGAGAAAGTGTGGAAAGTGAAGGGTTGTTTTTTGGAGGTTTTTTTTTTTCCTTTAGATTGTAATGAAATCGCCTTTGTCTCATGATTGTCTTCCCTTCTCTTCTTTATATCTTTCTTGTAATTCAGCTGAGAGTTATAGTTGAGAAATGCATTTTGAGAGACTGTATTTTACTGTTCTTCATTAACATCTATGTTTTAAATTTTTAATTTATAAAATTAAGTGTTTTAAATAGGAATGTAATTGTGGCACTTTTTTCTTGGGATATGTGAAGTCAGCATTGATTTTGATCTTGCAGTTTGTGGAAATCATCTTGAAATCATGCTTGAAAAATTCGCTGTGTGATCAGAGTTGCGGGACTTATGGGCTGGCCAGAAATGCAGTCATGTATGTGGTTATTTGGGATTGTAAGCCATTAGAAGTGGAAGCTGCATTTGGAAAAGTTTGGAAACTGCTGATCTCTCAAATCTTTCCCAGGCGGTTTGACAGATGCTATACCTGTGTTAAGACGACCACAAAGCATTCTCTGTGGGTAGCTCCTGCGGTCAGTGCATTGGTAGTCCCAAATAGCACTAAGTGCCAAGCATGTCCTGAGTCTTGTTGCCAGATAGCAAGTGTATGCATTATTCAAACGCTAGCCTTTTGTTTTCCTTTCGATACGACATGCAAGAGGAGATGCTTGCTGTTTGACAGTGGGCTTTTGGATATATAGCAGGTATGAAAAGAAATAAAGAAGCCCAAATAATAAATACACTGAGCATGCATAAAACAGTCTTTGTTGATATTTATAAATACAAATTTACAAATACATACATACGTATGGCAATTCTGATTGCTCCTGAAACGCTTGTGACACTGGAGTCTATTGGAGGTCTGACAGACTGCTTAAAATTGTTTTATATCTCTATCAGATTATAATTGGATAATTATAGGCAGTTAGTCTAAGATCTTTAAGGAGATTAGCAGTTAAGCAGTCCACTATCTCTGCGAGGCTATGATACATGTCTTTTTAAGGTACGTGTAATTGTGTCTTACAACTATGGTTGCTTGCATGTTGTACAGTAAACCAGTAAGACAGCAGCGAGTAGATTTGAAAGTCTGCCTTCACAAAAAACTGTTCTAGTCAATATTTTACTGCCTTCTGACATTTGGATGACTAGTAAGTTGAAAATCTTGTAATTCGGATGGTGTATTACTGGAATCACTGCTTTTGGTGATGGTTCAGACAGGAATCATCTAAGACATTTTCTTTATCTTTGATTAGCAATGTTCAGAATAAAATGAGCTCATTGTGCTATAGTTTGAATCCATGCTTCTTAACATTTTTGTTGTGGTACCAAGTCACTTGCTCTATCTCCCTGGCTGCTGTCTGACAGTGACTTCCATTGGAGCCCATCAGTAGTAGCACGGTTTAATCCTTCAGAGTGGCTGCTAACCAATATTGCAAGCCATTCGAGTAGGCATCCGTATTCGGGGGGATGCCCATGCCACCTGCCAGAAGGAAAAGAGGTGACTAGAGCTGGACCGAAACCTCCATAATTTGGAAAATACAAGCCATGCTCCACAAGGCCACCTTGATAAAGGTAGATTTTATATAGTCACTTTTTCAGTCTCACGAGAACAACCTTAGGGTAGGGAACTGAATAAAAACACTGCCAGTAAATATCTCTCTGTATTTTTTCTCCTTTCTTTTGGCCACCCATGCATGCCAATCCTTCTTTCCAAAATAGAGCTCCAAGAAGAACTGACTTTTGAAGACTCTTGATGTGGTTTGGAAAGAGGGTTTTGTTTCCCCAATGAAGAATTGTTTGGACACCAGTGTCTTTAAGCAGTGCATAGCTCTGTGTTTTTACTAGTATTGTGTGAGTTGTTAAATCTGAAAGGCCCAGCTGGCAATGAGAACACGGACACTTACTCCTGGGTGCAGGTTCCTCTTACATGTTGTGGAATGGAGCAACTAGTTGTTCTTCTCTAGTAGTAATTCTCTGCCCTCCTAGTGCAACAGACTGGCAGTGGAAAAAGGCAAAGCTGTCTTGGAAGCAGAGCTGATTCTGGATTATTATGGAAATGGAAGTGTATGTGTGCACACAGTTGTATCACTGTGTGACTTGTTTACTTTTGGTGTTGTCTGTACCCCACCATTCTTCAGATTCTTCTGCTAAGAGCATTTCCAAAATCTGATTTTAAAATTTTGTTCCCAAACTGAAGCTGTTGTCTGGGATTAGGGATTCTCTTACGTCAGCTCTTACAGTGCTGTTTTCCTTGGCACCCATGTTCCCTTCCTCCTTTCATTCTCTAAATACAGAAACAAAGTTCTCATTTCCTTGTGCCATTTTCTGAATTTCTGTATTAGCTCCCATGTTCTGGTAGTTTACGCTCAACCTTCCAGCTCTCTTCTTCATGACACACAACAAGCTCCCTGTTTGCAGATTCACAAATTATTGAGGCAGAAAGGATGGTAAAATCGTCTGGGTTGACTTGTAAGTCATAAGGCACTGCATTACCTTGCCGTTCAACCCAGTAACTTCTGTTTAACTGGAGCACCTCTTCTATAGTAGTATACAGACTTGTTCCAAAGACAAGACGTGCAGAATCAGTTGCTGTCCTTGGTAACTTCCTCCAGAGGTTAACTACTGTTACTATTAAAAGTGTCTACCTTACGTATACTTTGAATTTTTCTGGCTTCAGATTCCAGTTATTATTTTTTGTTACATCTTTCTTTACCTGGTTAAAGGTATCTGGCATTTTTCTTCCTATGCAGATACTGGTACATGTTAACGTGTCCACCTTTTGGTCATTCTTTTAACAATCTAAACAGACTGATATACAAGTTCCACCATGAGGCATATTCTCCTGCTTTCACATAACATCTGTGGTTCTTTTCTGCACCGTTTCTGATGTTTTAACATGCTTTGAAAAATGCGAACACCAAAATTGAAAGAATTGTAGCCTCTGTCTGACTAGGTCTGTATACAGAGAAAATTGCTTTTCCCTTCATAATTCTTGTTACTTGCCTGTTGACATACGCAAGAATCACATTAATCCATTTTACCCTAGCAGCATACCGAGAACTAACGTCCGCTCTGACCCCTAAATCCTTTGCGGCAACTACCTTTAAGCAAAAAGCTTCCTTGTTCCTGGTGAATAACTTTGTGTGGAGTTGTGTCAGTCTGTTCTTGTTCAAATGGATCTAGCTTACCAAGCAATTCAGACAGCTCTGTATGACCTTCTTGTCCTCGTTATTTTGCGCATCTCCAGGCTTTATATCACTTGCAAACTGTACTGGCAATTTATATTTACTTCCAGGTCGCTGAGGAAAATTTCAGTAGCTGCAGACCACTTATGGACTTTCTTATAGACTCTACCTATATACATTTCAGTTTGACACAGAGCAACTTCTAAAACCTCTCAGTAGTCACTTCATGATTGATTTAATGTATTTTCTCTTATTTTCCCTTTTATCATATGCCATTTTGTCATCTCCTCTGTTTCTTCAGTATAAGAAACTCAAGCGCCCAACTCAAGATCCGCCACAGTATCTTTCACAGTTTTCTAGACTCATTTTACAGTGCTTTCTTTTTCCTGAAATTTTCATTAAAACTAATGTTTATTTTGAAAGCTCTAAGAAATCAACAACTCACATATGTACTTGCTGCAGGTTAAGCTATTTATTACAATCCTTTTTGATGACTTGGTGCTTTTTGAGAGATATCAAATTGTGTAATATAATGACTATTGTTAACAGTTTTGTGCTAGAAAATTTAAGTGGGTAAATGTGCACATTTAGAAGTAAGGTTTAATATTCAGTCCTTAATTGTATTGTCTTGGTGTTAGCTTGCGATCTATACTTATGCCTCCAGTTACGCTTTTGTAGGAATAGAATATGATTTTGAAAATTCTGAGTATTTGTAGAGAACTGCAGAAACCGTTATTGTGCCAGTTAAGGTGCTACATTTTCAACACAAGGAGCGCAAATCTAAGATTCTCACTGTAGAATGGATTGGATACCGTTTTATGTCTGCCGTTTTTGTTGCTAGTTAAAGCATCATTTCACATCACTCCATACTGCAGTGTTCTGTTCTGCTTGTAAAGATGCTGTAGAGCACAAGCAGAATCCTTTCATGTTTTGTCTAGCTTAGGTTTTCACTGTTTATGAGGACTATAAAGATGAAACAAATTACCTACTTACATATTCTCACACAGAATCCAATCCTTAGGTGTTAATAGCAATTAATATTTTAGGTACATCTAGATTTTTAATTGTTAGAATAAAATTTGTTTTCTCATCACTCAACAGAACTAACTTTCTTGTTTAAATTCTGTTTGACACTGGACTTGCAGTCAATGATTGCATGCTACTTCTTTAGCTTATTTGAGCAATTACAGTTGAGTAAAATAGTTGTTCCTCCTTCTTGTCCTAGACCAATGTGTAGTATCACTGTCTCTCATTATGTGATGATCCCAGACTGCTCTGGTGGGCAAGCTATTCCCACAAACAGCTATCTATAAGGCCCTTAGCAAAGAACAAAAGTGGGAATGTGACTGAGCTTCTCTCTGTCTCTTTCCTTCGTATATTTACACTTTTGCCGAACTGAAAATTAGATATAAATTGACCATCAAAAGCTTTTTTTTTTTTTAAAGATGTGAGGAGAAAGGACTGAAGAGATCCTTGAGACAGAAGGACAGTCTTGTTCAGAATTAAATTATAATATTGATTTGTATTTCTTTTAATATTTCTCTCCAGATTCCCTATGGCCAAAGATTCGTGTTCCACTGAAAGTTGTTAGAACTGCAGAAAACAAGCTTAGTAACCGCTTTTTCCCCTATGATGAGATTGAAACAGAAGCAGTGTTGGCTATTGATGATGATATCATTATGCTAACCTCGGATGAACTCCAGTTTGGATATGAGGTAGGAGAATTATTTTTTTTCCTGTAACTTATGCTGTCTACTTCAGCGTTGCATGTGTATATAAAGCGGAGAAAGCACTGCACAGTCTGCTTATTCAGATGATTTCATCTCTGTACACACTGTGGCAGTTCAGTGCTGACTGAAACGTGCTGAGGAACTGGTTCTAGGAGCACAGAGGGTTACAGTTATTCAGATAGTCACTATTTCATAGAAAAACTGCTAGCCAACAGAAGTTTTTTTGTAACTGGCACAGCTATGCCAAGAGACTCCAGAAAATATTGTGTAATTTATGTAATGGAAGCAGTCTGGAAACTGTGAATAGGATTCACCTCATCAGTTTCACAAAATTTTTAGACGTGGCAAATCAGAAGTGCTCTCCAAGTTAATATTTCAGGTATTTCTGCAGAGAGAGCTTTGTATTAGGCAGCAATTGCAGGGTTTCCATTCTGTAATTTTGCCTGCCTTTCACCTGAAAGGACTGGCTGCTATGATGTGCTCTCTTCAAGCAAAAGTTGTCTAGTTGTCCCACTCATCTGTTAGCCACTTACACACTTCAAAATAAAAAGAAATAAAGCAATTTTTTACTTATGCACTCTTAGTTCATAAACAGCGTTTTCTTTGTTGCTGGACGTATGTTACCATCAGATTCTTCCAGTATGAATTGAGGGACAAGACAAGTTCAAGAGATTAAGTGTTGAGAACAGAGGAGGCCTCTTGAGGACGTGCCAAAGTAAGGTGGAGTGCAGTGAAAAGCGGAACTGAAGAATGTCAAGGAGTGGGTGCATATGTGTCATATGTTTGAAATGGCAAAGCTTCAACAGCTGCTGTTGTATGAGGGTATCAATGAAAGGAAAGTTTGTCCAAATCAGTTACACGTGGCAGTACAGAGATGAAAGTTTTCATAGTCATATTTGAGTTGTTTGTCAAAAAATGCACTTATTTAAGGCAACGCTGTTGTCTTCCTTCCAAAACTTCAGTCTGATTTACTTCATTTTGTCTTCCATTTGAGTATATGGCACAGTTCATAATCTGACATTACTGATACACCTGTGCATTTAAGACAAATGTGCTCTACTTGCAAATAAATCAGAAACTTTATAAAATGAAATAGCGTATTTTTAAGAAAGATGTGAGTAGTTTACTCGTACCTGTACCTGCAGTATTGTGAACAAAAAACCAGGAAACTGGTTAATTTTGTTACCTAAATTGAGTGAAAAATGAAAACCAATATTCTCAAGCGTGGAAGGCAAACTAAATGTTGATAGTTGCATCGGTTTTAATAATCTTAAAGTGCAGTTGTTAACACAAGAAGATATTTTTAAAGATAAGTATGTTGGTAATAATTCACAATTCTTCATTGTGAATATGTGTGTGGTAAAACATGGCTCTGTCTCCCTCTGAAATGCAAGAGACCTTTAGCAAGCCATGCGTTTTTGGACTCAAGAATTTACTTGTGTAATGTAGGTAAGCTGATGTAATAACAAAGATGTTAAGTAGTGGAGACAGGGGTATAATCTATCACGTGTGTCTCCAGAAAGAAAATATTTCCTTTGCCAGCTTAAGAGTAACGGGTTAGTACACGAAATGTGAAAGACAGAATGAAGAGAAGACAACTGAAAAAAGGGGTTTTTATGGCCACATATGCCATTTCTGTACTGCCTTGTCTACACTGAGTGTTTTAAGCACTGTGTTGCAGCAATGAAGTGTTGGCAGTTCTGCAAGCCAACTTGCTTTTGTCTTTATTGGTGCTTGTAACTACGAGTTCTGAGGGTGAACTGATGGAAAGAGAAATAGCAAATCTATAACCAGCATGCTGTGTACGTTCTGGCTCCCTTTCCAATTTGATTTTCATAAAGCTGCCCCAAAGTAAACAAAAGTAAGTTTTGTGAAAACCTATATGATTGAGTGATTCCAAATGAATCTCTGCTCCTGACAAAGCGGACCTGGAGGGCTTCGGAGCAAGATTGGCAAGCAGTACTGCAGATGAGTTTCAGTTGTATGTCAGCCAGAAGTCGTGAGAATTAGAACTGTGAAGCTTGTACGTCCAAAGCAGTAATTTAAAATTCCGCTGCTGAGAATATGTATAACTTCACATATATTGAGTCTTGTCACTTAGACAGGAAAGTGTTAGCCTCATGAAGTAAAGCTGAGACAAAGAAGTTTAAGTGAATTCTTAACACTTACAGAGTTACAGTGACTCTGTAAGTCAGTGTGATCAGGTGACAGTTGGGACTTACAACTCTTCATCCCCAGGTCTAATTGTTGGACTGTGCTGTCTAATTTATTGGCCTTCTGTGGACCATATGCTTTGATTGCAGGGATTACTCGGGTGACAGTCTTGACATTCCGTGTGTAAATGTAACTGTTCGGACACAAGATTATTTAGTCTGGCAGACTAAAAGCTATTACTTTTGCACTTCTCTTATTTTGTTATAAATCTGATTCCATTTTAATTCTGTGAATCCAACTTAGTACACAGCCACATAGGTGGAAAATTAAGATGCCTTATTGAGCAAGTAGCTGAGACAAACCCAAGGCTACTTTGAATCTTTATGTTTTGAGAATGCTTGTTTCTGTAAAATAAATGAATAGAAATGTCTTTAAATACATCGGCACAGCAGGTTATTTTATAAATATACAGTTTTCCTCCTATGGAGGGTGGGTGATATAATTCCTACTCTCTGGCACAGAAAATCAAGGCTGAAGATAGATCTTTCCTGTCCCTGAGTGCCTGTGACTTGCTTGACAGGCCTGAGCTGGCTCCCAGATGTTTAAATTGTCCTCAGCCTGTGATAATTTATTTATCTGTTTATGTGAGTTACCAGAAAAGTATCTCTCAAGCTCTTGACTCATTTGCAGGGGAACCCAGAGGGAACAGTAGCAGCATATACCATTACTAGAAAGTTTCCTTTTAAAAGTGTCTCAGCTTCTGCTTCAGAAATAAGAAGGGTTGGAAACGTGACATTCAGTAATTTTCTTTTCTTCTCCTGACATGCCTGAGACTTTATTTTTAAACATGTGGCAAAACTCCCTCCATCACAGTCTTGTCTGGATGTAGAGAGCAAGCCTAAAAAAACCAGAAAACTTTGATCTCTGTACACTTTCGGCCATAAAAAATTATAGTAACACTCAAAGTGTCAGACATTTTTTACTTGTTAAAAGTGAACTATTATGGTACAGTGATTTATTACATAGCATAAATCTATTGAAGCAAGCAGAAAAATAGTCCCTCTGTGCTGCGGTATTAAGGTAGCGTAAGAATAATCATGACAGTGCGACTTTTGAAAAAGAGGATTTCTATAAGTTACATGGTGAAACCACAGAGGTGAATCGAGGCACTGCGGACAATAACAAACAAAACTGTTAAGGCTAGACAACTTTTCCCTCACTTATCCATCTTCGTTGTTCACAGTATCAGAGAGATTCAAGAGAAGAAGCACATATTTAGATTATCATAATATTTAAAAATTAAAGCAGAACCATTGGCTGTTCAGGAAGCGTTTGGTATTTGAACAAGAGACTGCAGCATGCGTTCTGGTCTTCCCACCTCTGAATTTCAGCTGGCCTCGGGGCAGATTGCTTCACATTTCTATCAGTCTGAAAAAAAGGAGGTGATGGTTTGCAAACATGAATTTCATGAAGATTTCTTACTAGGTACTTACACAGCGCCCTTACAACAACAACGTATTTTTACTACAGCAGTAATAAAAATAATCTAAATTAGAAATGTTGCCCTGAAGTCTTTCAGACCACATGTTCTGTGCTCTTAAAGAAGAGAGCACATTTATCTTAAAGAAGAGAGCAGATTTATCATTTTTTCTTTCTTGGAAAAAATGGTTGGGTGCATTGCTAAGTTTGTGCTTTTTCTATTGGAAACGTTTTGCCTACTTGTAGTAAATGGTTCTTATTCTGTCTCAAAGGTCAGTCCTGAGTGCTTCATTTCTCTGACATTCTTTAAGAGTAAAAATATCACCTCTCTGATAAACTGCGTGTTGTTTATTCCACTAGGCTAATATTGTAAGACTCTGAGTACCTTTTTTAGAGGAATTCTTGCATGTTCATTCTGACTGTTAAAAATGTATTTTTTACATTGCTTTAAGGAGGAAGAGTATAACTATTTGCTTACCAGAGGACGACTTCTCCATGGGTAACCTGCTGGCAACATTCAAAGCTCTTTTTCTTCTTAAGTGACACACTTAAACACACAGCCTAGCTGAAATACCCTCCAGTCTTATCGTCTGCAGTTCTCTTTTACTTCCTAGCCTGAACTGTTTTGTTCTATTTCTCTGTGCCATCAAACAAGCTACCACAGCCCGTTCTCCATGTAGCTGAAAGTATGGAGAAGCACTTCCTTTTCCAGAATTTTTGCATGAAATTTATTAGACTGTATTAATAGTTACATTGCAACTATAGGAATTGTCTAATCAAAACTAGAAAATTTGAAAATTTCATAAGCAGAAAAATAATCAATGTTTCCAAAACTACTGTGGCAATGTTGTAAGAATGAAACACTTTGGCTGTCCCCTATGAGTTAAAGAAAACACAGTGAATCAGTACTTTTTCTCTCCTCCCACAGTCCCAGCCATACTTAATTCTCCCCTGGCCCTCAGAGGGATGACTTGTGTTATTATTAAAAAAGAAAGCAAAACATAAGCGCAAAGCCCACAAAGATAAGCAATGCTTTACATGCACATAATTTGCAAGGTAGCTTTGATTTGAAGAAAGAGCTTTGAACGTGGCCAGCAGTTACCCATGGAGAAGTCGTCTTTTGGTAAGCAAATAGTTATATTATTCCTCCTTAAAGAAATGTCAAAAATACATTTTTAACAGTCAGAATGCACATACAAGAATTCTTCTAAAGAAGGCACTCAGAATCTTACAAAATCTCTTAGGCTTCTCTTTGACTATTGGAAGCAAAGATTATCATTTTCTCTTGCTGTCTTTCACAAGAGCTGCCACGTCAGAATTTCTGTTAGATTTGTCATCTCAGAGGTGATTGATTGAAAAATATTTATCTTCAGTGCTGTCTTGCAGAGTCACTGGAATAGTGTTGGCTGCCAAGAAGCATACCCCTTACCGACTTGGCAATATGTTTTTCCATGGATATGTCCCTTACCAGTATTAGCTCAAGCCATGCTTCTTTAGTCTGAGAGCTAAGATCATCACTGGCTAAGCCAGAACGTAATCCGAACAGGCTAATAAATTTTAGGCCACCATCAAATAGGTAAATGGACTGTAGTACAAAATGGAGAGTAGTGTAAGGATCATTACCACTGTTGCTATTCTAAATGCTTCTTTATAAACAGTATGTATTAATTTTGGCACAAAACATTTGTGAGGTTTGGGCAATATATTTGTATAGGTTCGTATAGGTTTTGGCAGCTCTTTGGAGGCTTTCCAGGAATTGCCATTGAATGAGCTAGTGAAGAACACTGTGAAGAAACCAAGCTTTCCACTGACTTTGATAGCATGACTTTTAAAAGGAATCTTTGTTTGAAACAATTAAGTTATGTTTCAGATGCATCAAACTGACAGTTTTCAGAGACCAGAATCATGGTAACCGTGTTGAACATTACAGTGATGCAAAGAAATCTGTATTAGTAACATAATAGTTGGCTTTTATTTTATGTCGTTTGGACTCTTGAAGATCTCATTGAGAACAAAAACTACAAGGAATATGAATCCACCATTCTGTGTTATGAGCGCACTAAGGTCCCTTGGGAAGCAGTAGCTGAGTTTAATCTCTCCTTCAGCTGCCTTCAATATGCGTGTCTTTCCCACCGCAAGGATTCTTCATTCAGTACATTACAGATTGCAGCATTCAGTCAGATCTTATGTTGAGCCTCAGCTTATGTTACAGTGCCTTGCAGCAGCTGAAGGATGGGTATTTGAATAGGTTTAAAAAAATTACAAGTTAATCATTAATTTTTTTAAGTCCTACAGGGTGAGGAATAAAATTTTGGAAGAGGGAGTTGCTGTACATTTGTCTTTTTGCTCTTTTATTAATGTTTCTGACATCATGTCAGAATTGAATTAGGTATCCCAAGCCTTCACTAGTCTGCTAGAAATGTATATATTTTTTAATTAGCTGATGGTACTAATTTGTGACAGCATCCTTTGCATTCTGCTTCTGGAGTTCCAAATCATCTCAGCTTTTAAGAGCCCTCTGTTAGACAGTTGCCCTGCCTAAATACCATCCAAGTACTTCTACGCTAGAACTGTCTAGAAAGATTGATTTCTGGATAAACTACAAGTCTGAGAGTCAGAAGATCTGGTTCCCATTCTTGTTTCCTGTATGATTTTTGGCAAGTTGCCTCAGCTGTACCTTTGAAATAATAACTACTCTCATCATGGGATTCTGAAGTTATATTAACTGACAGCAATAAAATGTGTTGAGATCTATAGATGAAAACGTATATAGTAATGCAAAATCATAGACATGTATATACAGAAGTAGTAAATTAATGCGGATTGTTTTATCATATTTATTTTGACCAAATACTTGCATAGAGTCCTTACAGTCCAGGTCTCCTAATTGAAATGTACTGGCACATAGGAAGTACCCCAAGGAAACTGCGGACAAAGTAAGGTTTTCAGTGTCAGGGAATTCTAGATAATAATTTCTTTACTGCAGCTTCATCTGATTTTTGCTCTAGGATTCTTTTGCCTTCTGCACAGAGAAAAAAATTTTGCTTGTAAAGTGGCCCTCAGGGATTTAGGAGGTTTTTCATCATTGATCTTGCATGCAGTAATGAAACTTGATTGTAAGTGACTGTTTCTGTTTGTTTATTTGTACACTACCAACCTGAAACAGAAAATCTTTTTACCTAGTGTGATATGTTTGAGAGTCAAGACTCATGTTCTTCCAACAAATCTAGCAGATATTGGGATTAAAAAAGGAAAAAAATTCAGTCTGTACGTATAACATGGATAAATGTTAACTTACTGTTGATCAGTAAAAAATACTGTGTATTTAGCTAGTTATATAGCATTCAGACCCTTCTAAATAATTATAACCCTTTCTCCCTTCTCACTCCTGCAAAAATTGGCCATTATTTAATATGGCCGGCCGTGTGGAGAACTGGGGTTGCGTTAATGATGCCCTTCTCCTTGTTCTTGTCTACTGTGTTTGATCCTGTCGTCAGCTGCAAAGTAATGTATGGAGTGACAAGGATGGTATCTTGATTGTATCCAGCTGTCTGGAACAAGTCAAGGGCAAAGAGGCCTGCCACGTAGCAGTAGATCCATCCAAGCACCCACTAAAGAATGCCAGAAATATTAAAATATAAGCTTGTGTTAAGCCCCTTCCTATCAAAGTAAACAGGTTGGTTAGATCCAAAGCCAGCTGTGAAAGTAGTTAGGCTGCAGCCGTATCTACCGAAGTTAACATCAGAAGTTCCATTTCAATCACGCTGGTGTTAGGTAGTGTTAAATTCTTTTTGAGTAGTCAGTTGAATTCCTCTGCAACGAGAAAGCTCGTATTGCTTTACTGGCTATTTGTTCCAGAGTATGGCTTCCCGGAGCTGTAGCGTCCTTTCAAGGCAAATTCGGGCTTGCTCAAACTTCTTCCAGGCAGCTTCCAATTTCAAGAATTGGGACTTGTGAGAATTGAAACAGTCTCTGGACCACTGCACTTCTCCCTTTCATAAGTAGATGTGTTGCGTCTGTGCATTTGCGTTTGTTTGCTGTGAGGGTCTGGTTAGCACAGTGTCATGTTTCATTCTCTTCAGGTTTGGCGTGAGTTTCCTGACAGGTTAGTTGGATATCCAGGTCGCCTGCATCTTTGGGACCATGAGATGAACAAATGGAAATATGAATCAGAATGGACCAACGAAGTCTCAATGGTGCTGACTGGGGCAGCGTTTTATCACAAGGTAACTGTAACACCATAAATAAAGGGAGGGTTCAGTATATCTTGCTATTAAACGATATAATGCTGTTTTACATCAGACAATGATCTCTGGTCATTTTCCATTTGAGAATTTGAGTATTTTTTTTTATCGGACAGCCTTTGTGTTTCGTTTGAAAAGGCTGTAGTGGCACAAAGCGTCATTTGTTGCGTTCTTAGAAAGTGAGAGGGTTCATGCATCTCTGGACGCAAGCAGTGCACCTTGACCTGCAGAAGAGCTTCTCCTAATATACAGCATGAGCCTTTTTTAAGGAGCTGTATATTTCTATCACTGTTCAGTGAGTATTTTGTGACACTATAATTATGTTCCCTACAATAATTCAAGAAACGATTGCAAACTTTCCCTAAGCCTCCTTCTCTTTCTGTTGCTGTGGAAACAACTGATTTGCCTCTGCTTATAAAAGAAACGTTACGTTCATAAACTTAAAGAAAAACTTGTCAATTTGCAGGATGTGTAACTGATTACCTTTTGCTTTTGCAATGAGTATAGCTTTGTAGCTGAACGTTTAAAAAATGAAAACTAAACTGAAAAGAAATGTATTTGCTGATCAGGAAAGAGTAGTTGCACACTTAAGCACCCAAAAATGACACTCTGTTTGCTAAAGTCATCCTTGGCTGAAGGTAGGATTACAGTTTGCCCATAAGCCATTCTTACCTGCCTGCTGTTCAGTGACTGAAGTTTAGAGTCTCATAGTTACCGCATCTGTATTTAAAATTATGTTCTCTCTCTTTCCAACTATCCTGCAGTATTTTAACTATCTTTACACCTATAAAATGCCTGGAGACATCAAGAACTGGGTGGATGCTCATATGAATTGTGAAGATATTGCCATGAATTTTCTGGTGGCAAACGTCACTGGCAAATCAGTCATTAAGGTAGGACTTTTCTGTAGTGTAGCTTTGTACGGTTTAAAAACATGATGTACACATCATGTAAGCTTCTTAGTAGGTTTGAATATACTACTTTGTCATCTTTTTTCCCTCGTTTACTCCTGGAATGGTGTCTCATTCTCTTTCCATGGCAGGAAAGCCCAGTTTAGTAAAAGTTTTCTGCTAATTTGGGACACTTGAACTGCTTGATTTTTTCTTTTCATTTGTTTCTGGCGTTTATTGTAACCAACTAAATGAGGTATAAAGAAGGTAGTTTAAATGACAGATGGGCAGACATATATATATAGGTACCTAAACACATGCATATATTTTAACTATTTGAGATCACTCGAGGAAAGAAATTGCCAACTGTCCACAGCTCTCTTTATCATGCACTGGCAACAGCTGATTTATAGGAATGTTAATTGCAAGAATGTTAATTGCAAGATCAGCTTTAAATGAACTTTTTATCCTCAAATTAATTTCCTGACATGTTTCGACACGTTTTCAGGTCTGGACATTCACTCTGTACATTCATTTCAAAGTGTGTCAACTTGGAATGAGATTTAGAGGCCACCAGGCATTACTTCAATTAACGGAGTCCACTTTCCCATCTGTCTGTCATCATTTACTGGGACTGGTGGCTGCATATCCTAGAAAAGTCTTTAGAAGATAAAGTGTGTATTTTTGCTGAAAAAGTTTTTGAGCTGTACAAGGGCACAGCAGAGTAATTTGGCACCTCCGTGCGATTGGGAGAGCCTTGCAGAGTTTGCCAGTCAGCTATTAACTGGAGTGAGCAAAAGAGCGTCTGTTGGATTAACGTTACGGTGAAGTATGGGAAGCTATATTTCATCGCTGTTATGGCTGCAAGAACAAATGGTGTTTATACAGGGACCTTGGCAGTGAGAAAACAGTCATTAAACAGGAATTAAGGAGCTTGTCATCGCCACTTCTTTTCAGTTACAGAAGGCAAAACCCCTCCAAGCCGTTTTTATTGGGCCCCTGTGAATTTTGCAGTCAGCCAGGCCAGATGGAACTGAATGGAGGAATGGAGTGGCTTTTTTTTTTTT